GCCCGGCCGGATGGGAACTGGCAGTGCTAGTCCCAGCCCATGTGCCACGCAGCATCCCTGCTGGCCCCAGCCGAAACCCAGGCTTACGAGCTTGGCTTTGAGGGTTCACGCTGTCACAGTGACCTTTCAGGGCTCCTGAGCCAGGCCGTCAGCAGCAGGGGTGCCTGGGGAGAGCTGGCACCCTCCTTGGCACCCTGAGCCCGCACCCAGCCTTGCTCAAACATGTTTACAACCAAGGAGACCAAAGTATCAGACACCAGGTCTGTGCTGGGACAACAGCCCGTCCCCTCCCCGAAACTCCCCAGTGGGAAAGGGCCAGGCTGGGATCCAGCCCCAGAAGCCTTCCCCTGCCCTCTGCAGCCATGAAACCCACTAAAGACATCATGGGAACCCTCCCGGCTGCGCACTCATCCCAAGGGCAGGACAGTGGTCACCAATGCTCTCCCTGCCCTTGCTCAGCATCACATTTGAAGCAGACCAAGGAAAAGGGGGGGAGGGGAGTGTCTGGTCAGAGACAGGGGGTCCCCCCTCACCTCCTGGGGGTCCACGGTGCAGTAGTGGTAGAGGTACTGGTTCAGGTAGGTGCCGCTGCTGTAGATCTGGTTGCACATGGTCAGCAAGGGATTGTAGTAGTAGCTGCCGGTCATCTGCGCCTGGGGGTTGACGCCGACGACATAGATGATGGAGGCAATGAGCATGAGGAAGGCCAACACGGCGCAGGCCACGATCACCACCAGGTAGAAGCGGCGGGAGCGGGAGCTGCGGGATTTGCTGACGCTGGTCACAAAGAGCCCCAGCTGTGCCAGGAAGCACAGCACGGCCATGGCGATCATGAAGCCGTTGGCTGTCCGCGGGTTGGTGACGCCACCGTAGTAGCTCCCGTAGCCACCCACTGCCATAGTAGCCGGAGCCATAGAAGCCCCCCAAGCCATTGCCATAGAGCCCCCCATAGCCGTAGCCGTACTCCCAGGCCAAGGTGGAGGCCACACAGGCAAAGATGGCGATGCAGAGCAGGATGATTATGGCCTCCAGGATCCGCACCACGCCGGGCGGTGAGCTCCACTTGTAGAAGTGCTGCGGCACATCCTCCATGTAGTAGGAGCCCGGTGGCGGTGAGCGGGCACCGGTGCCATTGCCATAATCACCTGTGGGGGAC